TTCTACAAACATCATAGCATATGTAGCACAAATGCATATATCACAATCTCATTTATTTTGAGAGAATCATGCAATTCATACATCATGACATTGCATGAAACTAAATTTACCTTTCAAGGTTGAGATTGCAGAAAGAAAAACACGGTCAACTTATACACCAGGTCAAAGATTAATGCCTGAAACCAGACGGGAAAAACATCTACATGACCAAATGGTATGAACTCTCAAAGCAAGGCGGGTTTAACAACAAATACAGTAGGCCATGGATTATTTACCGAAACTAGAAGGGGAAACTATCTATGTGATTGATGTTTCCATGTTCCGGATTAATACCTGAAACAAGACAGGACAATTATCTGTGAACAAGAGATTAAATATTAATACCTGTAACAAGCCAGGAAAACTATTTTTCTTTCTCAGAACAAAGATTAATACCTGTGACAAGCCAGGACAACTATCTCAACAGCCGACAAAAACAAGTTCCAGATTAATACCTGTAACAAGCCAGGAGAACTATCTATAGACGACCGATTGTAGATTAATACCTGTAACAAGCCAGGAAAGCTATCTACATGAGGAGATCAGAGATTAAGACATATAACCAGCCAGGACAACTATCGTAATGACCGGCAATCTTCAAAGTTCTAGATTAATACCTGAAACCAGACATGACAACTATTTGCGAGCAGCTGATTGTAGATTAACACCTGAAACCAGACAGGAAAGCTATCTACATGACTCATACGAAGCAATCTTACATAGGCTCCTTCTCAGATATCTCCAGATGCAGGCTAACACGGGCTCATCCTGGAACAACCCTATACAGGCTCTTTCTAATATATTCTCAGATAACGGTTAATTCCATTATCCCTAGCAAGTTACTATGAACCTGGATTTCGACCAGAAAGAAGTAAACTTTCATCTCTCCAGTCAGGAGATAGCTCTTCAGCAGAGCCTTGGACAACTGAAGTTCCTAGACTCTATTCCCCACAGAGTTTTCCTCAAGCAGGAGAACAGCAGAAACCCATATTCCCCAGCGGACTCCTCCTCAGACAGCAGGAACAGGAACCCCCAAAGGGACCATGTGTGAACTCATCATCTTATTTGGATGGCATCCTTAAGCCCATCTCTGACGAATCCCAGTCATATTCTCCAAATGGCATCTGTAAGCCCATTCCCGACATCGTCAACCAACAATATTACTTCATGTGTGTGCAAATTTCTGGGCACTCTAGTGTTCAATCATCTTCCACCTTCAGACCACGAAAGGCAGGCAAGCCAATCTAAATCCTTAGGTTTAAGAATATTGAACAGGGGCAGCTGTTGTACCCCAAAAGTTTGCCTCCCAATTTTACTTAAAGCATGCTCTTCGTTATCCTCAATTGCTCAAGGTTGACCAAGAATTGACCAGACAAATTCTCCTCCTAAGCAATGAACCTCTAGCTAGGGTTTCACTTTTCATCAAGATGTGTGAGCTCCAAGGGTCCCAAATTTTTTCCATTGTCCTAATATGCCTTCAATATTGTCCATGACAAGTTTCATGCCTTGCACTATAATTTTGCCCAGTCAATTGCTCAAATGTTTGGAAATTAACTATACTAGGTCAAAAGTCAACTGTGACCCATGTACAATCAAACTTCAAGATTTTTGGTCAACATCAACATTTTGAAGTGATATCCATCATTTGATCAAGTTTTGATCATGATTCCTCAAGAAATGCTCTCAATTTATCAAAAGTCAAGAATTACTAAATTAGGGTTTCTATAGGAAAAGTCAACCAAACTTTAACCAAGCATAACTTTCTCATACTTCATCCATATTTCCACAACCAGAGCTCATATTGAATAGAATATCATTCCCTACAACTTCTCTTCAGCCCTCAAGTCCAAGAAATGCAACATTTGAAAGATATAAGCTCATACATTACAGGTCATTTTCAGAAAGTCAACAAAAGTCACTTTTTGCAAAGACCTTTTACATCAAGAAAAAATCTTCAAATCAAAATTTATCAAAAGAGGAATTTAAGTAGACATCTTGGTCTTTCCAAAAAGTCTAAATCATCCTCATGAGATCAAAATTGAGCAAGTTATGGCTTACCCAAGTTAGGAAAATTTGGGAAATTTCAAGAATTAGGCATTGAGCAAACTTGAAATTTTAGGTCAATGGCTTAATTTCTTGGACTTCAAGCATCTTCCTAAGCTTATAGAGGACCTCTAAAATCATTCTTACCCTGCCCTGTATTTTCTAGCTATTTTATTCATATTTATTTTAATTTATTTCAAATAAATATAAAATAAAATGTATAAAATAATTAGAAGTAAGCTTTGGCATGTGGGCTGATGCTTTGGACAGCCATAAGGCCAATGAATTCGTGCATTAGTGACAAGATACATCCAAGTTTGAAAAAATATAGGATTCCACATCTTTGGCCAAAAATTCAAATTCTTATTCATGGCTTTAAAACACATGATTAAGGTTGTTTAAACCATTGCTCTCTTGTCCCCTCCTTCTACTTTATATATACATCACATCAACAAGCATAAGACATGAAAAACAGCCTGAAAGAAACCATACAAAATTCACAATAATCTTCCAAAGTTGTGAAATCCAAAAGCGCACTTCCAGCCTTCCTCGTGCCAAATAAACCTCACCATTCAATCCCTGAGAACCTCAGGAGATCATCCAGACCATTTACAAGGAGTGAAACACCATAAAACCACAAATCCATGCGTCACCGGACCTTGGTAAGGTTTTAATTCGAAAAATTTCAAATATGTAATATAAACTAATTCTATTTACATATTCATGTTAAAATTGTTGCTTGCGAATGTTCTAATGTATTTCATGTGAGTCACTGTGCCAGAATCATAGATCACCATTGTTAGGGTTTCAAAACATGGAAGTTTCGGTTTTAGGGATAGAGGTGGTTTTAGCCCAAATCAAGACCATGGTTGAATTCGCAGCCTAGGTTTTAGGGGGGGGTAGCCAAAATTTCAGATCTCAAAGCTTCTTATTTTGCAGGTTATGAATCTCTCTATACCGGAGAGGATGGTGATCAACCACCATGGAGGGTGGTTTGACCATCCCGGAGCTGGCGTGGCAAGCGTGCACGTTTTTGTTGGTTGATTCAAATATAAACAGGGCCCACTGGGCGCGTGTTTTTTTATTTGAATAATTTCTGATTTAATTTATAATATAATATTATTATGTTATATGAATTAACGAATGAACAAGTAGCTCGGATGGCAAGGAAGCGCATGTGTGAAGGGAGAGGACTTGGGTTCGAGTCCCAGGTCCAACATTTTTTTCATTTTTCTAACAATTTCATGCAGATTCTATACTTCAATGGCCAGGAGCATTCTGTACACCTTAAAATTGCAACCACTAGATCATGATTATTCTAGATCCAAAGGCTTAAGCATGCAGATCCAGCATATGCCATCAAAGCCAGTCCTCACTGAATCCAAAAGACAAATTTGGGCTTCAACATTTGGGCCCAGCGAAATTTTCAAACAATACCCCATTTTTGCTTCATAACACCCTGGCCCATTTGAATTTTGTTTTATTTTTATTCTTTTAATTTGTTTGTTTTAATTAATCAACAAGTTTTTTTTAATTAGTTTTTTTAATTAAATAATTAATTTATGAAATTAATTAATTAATTAACTTTTACATTTTTTAATTAAAATAAGTTAGAGCTTAGGATTTAATTTATGTTTAAATTATTTTCTCAAATAAAAATACAAAAATATTAGAATTAGGCTTTAAATTCATTTAGCAATTATCTTTTAAACTAAAATTAGATTTAAGGTAGTTTAATTATTTTCTTAAAATAAACAAAAATCAAAAAGATTTTCTTATTTTACTTAGAAATTTCTTAGTGTTTTAGACGTTATTTAAATTCGCGCGCATTATCTTGTTCTCGCATTTTTTTATATAATAATATACATGCTGATAATATGTAATGATTAAACTAGGGATTTACTGCTTTTTTTATTTTTCTTTCCCCCAAGTTTTTGTACATTGTAAATATCCCCTCCCCAAAGCCATGTAATAACGTAGGGTTTATTTTTGCACTTTACATTCTTCTGTACATATTAACTGCTAGTAACTAGGATTGCATGGCAAGACTGATGACAAAAATGTTAGTAAACCTAAATGCGCAAGATAATTGAATGCAATTGCACATGCATACCTCTAGTGTACCCCACTTCGGTTTCCTTCGGAAAACAATCACAATTCTCGAAACGTGAGACGTTTTAGTGGCTTTCCTCTAGTTTGAAAGATCACAAGTCCCTCGATGACCCTCTCGATGTTGCCTCCGTTAAAAGTGATCTTAGAACTTTAGGACAGTTACTAGAATTCCTTTCCAAGTTGCCTTCGTGACCGTAACGTCTATTCGAATGTCCCTCATACATCCAACGATAGGGCTACCTACTCACTAATAATAGGATAGCACTGCCTAAAGGATAAGGAGGAAAAGAACAAACCTTTTTCGAGTACAAGTAGATACACTACAAGAAAATTAGTGTTTAACGACACAAAAATTGCGACAGTTATGTGATAACTGTCGTAATTGACATATAGAGACAGTGTTTACGACAGTTGACACCAACCGTCCCTAAAATTTATTTTGCGACGGTATATTTAACCATCATAATATTATTATTACGACGGTAAAACAACCGTCGGCCCCCATTTAACACTTTTAACATTGATTTTTCACCAACAATTAGTCACGACGGTAAAATTAACCGTCCTAAAAGGCATATCACGACGGTAAAGCACCCGTCGCACCCTTAAACCTTTCACGACGGTAAAATTATCCGTCCTAAAATTCATTTCACGACGGTAAAACAACCGTCGCACCCAAAACCTTTAAAAATCTCTTGCTAACTTATATATTTTATCTAATTATAATTGTTATGTATATTTAAGTTCTCTCTTGTTAAGGTTAAGTTTATGCATTATTATATATTCTATGAAGTTGATACATTCTAATGTCCTCATGCGTCACTATTCTTCGAACATCTCTCATCTTCCAACTTCGAACATCTCTCATCTTCCAACCGGTAAGTTTTCTATAACACATTTTCTTTGTTCTCATCTTCACATATCTCTCTCATTCTTTAACATTGATTTCACCATTGGAGATTCACATGAATCTTAGGGTTGAGCTCTTTGTGATTCAAACATCACAACAAGCATTCATATCGACATTAAACCCAATCACCAACAATAAACCCTAAAACCCCAATTTATTCACGATTCAATGAGCAATACAAGTTACAAGCATGGTGGGTTTATTTATTATGTCAATGTTGTTAGTACCATTACTTACCTGAAGCTAATTTTAGCAATTCTAATTCATCCAGGTGCTTTTTGTTTCACCCGAGCGGTTTTTGAATAAGGAGTTTCTGTCTGCTATCTCTGCTGGGTCAGCTGTCTCACTCGTTGTTATTGACGAAGCACATTGTATATCTGAATGGTGAGGGATTTCAGTGCCGCATTGTCTAAGCAAATTCTTCCAAATCATGTTGTTAATTTGAAGATCTCACTTTGTATGCATCTACTTCCATGTTGATATTTATATTTTGAGATTTTTTTACAGGTCTCACAATTTCCGACCTTCATTCATGAGACTTAGAGCATCACTACTTCATAGAAGTCTTAATGTAGGTTTTGTTCTCGCAATGACAGCAACTGCTACAACCACAACCTTAGATGCCATCATGTCTGCCCTAGATATTCCTTTTACAAATCTTATTCAGAATGCACACTTAAGGGACAATTTGCGTTTGTCGGCGTCTTTGATAAAAAATAGGCAAGTCAGATGCTTCTATTTTACCGCTTCTGACTGTACTCCCTTTAACTTTCCTTCTCTGATTTTGTTAAACGTATGCATCAATGATAGAATGAAAGACCTACTGGTTCTGATAAAGTCTCCTCCTTTTGCGGATGTTAAAGGCATCATAGTATACTGCAAATTTCAGGTGTGTATATGGACTTCATTTTCCAAATTTTCTGGTACTTGATTTCAGAGTTATGTTGTTTTATATAGTCATCTGCATTATACAACAACAACAACCACAGTATTTGAAATGTACAACCTTGTTTGCAAAGTAAAAGTTATTAAGTTCTTTATGTTTCAGGTTTAGTATGTGTCTAATTACTTAAGTTTGCAAGTAATGTTATTTTGCAGTGGATATCATATTATCATATATATATTTATATATGCGATAATTGATTTTTTTTTTTTATTCAGTCTGAAACTGATCAAATTAGCAGATACTTGAATGATAACAATATCTCGGCAAAGGTAAGCTCCACATTTCACTTTTTGACATTGCATGGCATTCTGTGTAAGTGTAACCCACGTCACTGTATGTGAAATCTGACAATTGATTTGAATCATCATTTAGAGTTATCATAGTGGTATTTTTGCAAAGGAACGTGGCAACGTACAGGAGTTGTTTGCTTCAAACAAGATCAGAGTGGTTAGATTTATTTTATTGTTTTAATCACTCAATTTATCAATTTTATGGTGCAATGCTTCTAATACAACATTGCTAGTCCAACTCATACCTTGCAATTTTTTTTATGAAGGTTGTTGCAACTGTGGCATTTGGTATGGGACTAGATAAAAGAGATGTTGGAGCAGTAAGTCTTATATTATATTTTATTTTTGCATTAGTTTGCATGATGACCCACTTTTCTCATTGTGCTCTTGTTGCAAGGTGACCCGCTTTCTCTGTGTCTATGTTTTAGACCTTTGTTATCTAGCTGTATCAGAAACAATCGAGTTTTTTCTCAAAAGTTATTTATTGTTAGAAATTTCAAATTGCAAAATGGGGGTAAATGGTAATGGAGAAGTGAGCTCTTTACTTCGTCTCTGTTAATGCAAATGTTCTGATAGCCACATTTTACGTAAGGCTGTTTTTCTTAGAACCACTCTGCAATCTGTAGTCACTTTTATCTTTGTTTTTCACACTACCTCATTTGCTTTGAAATGTGAATGGTCTTGTGTGTTACAATAATTCTTATTGAAACTCCATTGTCATAACTGTGTTTAGGTAATTCATTACAGTTTACCTGGAAGTCTGGAAGAGTTTGTACAGGTATATGATGTCTTCTAAATTCTAAATTCTGATAAATAGTTTTGCATAGATTGATTAAGGGAGCAGAGAAATGATTTGAGTTGGAATTCAAACTTGAGCAGTAAACCTGAATGACAGGTCTGTGTTAACAAGGTTATAGGTTCTGAGTGTTCATAATCTTGTGACTGAGTGTTTAATTCCATTTGATCTTTGTCACTGAGTGTTTATAATCTTGCTGGGTATATCCCTACTTTGTGAGGTAAGTGAATTATTTAGTTAGGTGTCCAATGAGTTCAGTTTAGTTCCTCTATTTGTTTTGAAGTTTTTCTGTTGAATAGTTTATGTATAGGTTGCTATCTATTAGTTGATTGTTAATTAAAAATGTCAAATCAAGTCTTTGGCATGGCAAAGTCATGTGTATTCGAAGGCATGGATAAGTTATATCTAATTACAGTGTAACGACTAGCTTACTACATTGTCATAGTGTATTATAGATAGGAATATGATGTCTCTTGATTACTATTCACTAGAAACGCCTTTGTGAACCTATTTTGTTGTTGGAGAGAACAGAACATACACGATCTTATAGGAATATGTTGGAGCCACCGAACTCAGCACTGCTACGTCGCTTCTTCAACAGCTTTTTGTCGAATTTCAGCTTAAATGGCTGGCAGAGGATATGGACGAGGACGAGGACGCGGCGGATTTCAAAATTATGCACGACCAGAGCCATTTGTACTTTTTCCCGAGGTAACATATTGTGCATCTTTTCCGAGTATGTATTTTTAAAATTTCTGATTTAGTTTTAGAATTTGTAATAAAAACTTAAATTATTTGAAATTTGACAACTTTTAAGCAAAAGTATAATAATGAGAGGTGAATTCCTCTGATATTTGTCTAAATTTAGCATGCCTTTAGATGATGAGACTTATCGGACCTTATGGTAAGTCATGTAGAGCAGATTTTGACTTCTTTTCTAACCGCCAAAAAGAACCACGATTTTTTCCATCATCCATGGCTTCAAGGAGAAGTTCTGGGAGATGGATTCGTGTGATCTCAGCATTCGCGGTTGTTCCGTCTGGTGTTTTTGGCAAACACCCTGGCGGAATGAGTGTAGCCTGTGCCGGCGTCATCGCCGGTGGAATAAATCATCAATGAGAGGTTTGTTATATTGGTAATATTCTTGTTCATTTAGTATTGTTAGATAATGATAGAGTTAGTTAGATGAACTAACATAATCAGTTTCTCTTATAAGATACAAGTTCAGACCTGTTTAGTATCTTTTGTCACTTCAAAACTATCATAGAAGTGAATCTGTTTAGTATCTTAGCCTTATACTTACCCCCAATGGCAACAATTAAATCCTAGAACCATTCTATCAACCCATAACTTATTGTTTCCTTCACTATGGTTTCCTGCTCTTGAAAAGATTCATTTTTTGTTTCTTGAATTTGCAGATTAGGATAAGAAAGTAATACTTCTACTTTCCCCTCTAACTAGACTTTGTTGCTTTTCATTAAGGGAATACTAAGCAGTTTCTTGACAGGAGAAGGTGATTGAATGGCAAAAGTTTGTTGGCCATACTTTGATCCTGAGTATGAGAACTTCAGCAACAGAATTAACCCTCCAAGGTTCACAGTTAACTTCCTTTCAAATACAATACTTGTTTTCTTTTCCAATGATCCTGCAAAAAGTTTAAAATCTAAAAAAATGCACTGATTTTTTTTAATAAATAATAATATGACGATTTTTAGTATTGGCATTTATGGATACTGATATATATTGTCATACTTTTCAGTGTCATTTGACTGCTTTAACATAATCTTAAAGGTCAAAAGGCGAAAGAACTGCACAACATAAATCTAAAAGCTTCTTTTAGTTCATAATGACTAGCTCTTGTTTTGTCAAAAAAAAAAAAAAACTAGTCCTTTGTTACAAGGTAGATGCTATCAGTTCAATCCCTAGTGGTGTCATAGGTTAAACTCCTTGTGGATTTGAGGAATATGGTGGCAATTTTTAATATCTAGAAGAAGTTGCTCGTTTTAGTGAACTCTGTTTCCACTTCGCAGGGTCTCTATGGACAATGATAGTTGCCATGATTGTACATTGATCAAGGTATAATTCCTCAAAATAACTAATTAATTCTAATATTTTTCATGGCCTCATTCTGAGTCTTAATTTGCCAGCTGAAGGGAACCTAGCCATTGGATTTTTAAGTCATTTGTACCTTTTGGCTTTTTGTGGACCAACAAGAGAGAAAAAACATGTAACATTTTTTTTATACCTAACCTAACTTCTTTGAATTAAACTTACTGGCCTTCAGTCAATTCTGATACGCTGTCTGGATTTCCTATGATTAGTTTACTTTTGCAGAAACATACCTTAAGCAACATTTTCTTTACTAAAAACTAGTTGAAATTTGAAAATTCAAACTGAAAGCTTGTTGAGAAGATAGAACTTCTGTTAAAACCTCTTTCAGTGAATTGCTAAATAATTTCTTCATTTCCTAGTAAATTAGGCAGCACATCAGGCTACATCAAGTGGCCATCATCATTAGATCATTTAGTTTCCATGGTATTCACATGGAGATAAGTTGATGCAATATATAATGGATTCATTTTACAATAATGCAGATTGATAGTGTCAATAAACCAGGAATTCTGCTGGAAGTCGTACAAATCCTAACAGACCTTGACTTCATAATCACCAAAGCTTACATATCTTCTGATGGTGGATGGTTTATGGATGGTACGTCTGCAATTGAATTCAAACTTGAACAGAAAATGCATTGACTTATACTACATAGATGTCTCGTTCATGCTTGTTATTTATTATTTACTTAATTATAATCTGGTAATTATTTATTGCAAATGTAAATTTTGGTTGCAATCAACATGATCTTCAATTTTAGGGAGTTATGCCAGATGGTAATACTGTGGCTGTTAAAAGGCTTAGTTTTAACTCGACGCAATGGGTGGATCATTTCTTCAATGAGGTTAATTTGATTAGTGGAGTTCATCACAAAAATGATGAGAGAAGAAAGAATACTTACACGTCGGAGTCACTCCGCCAACGCTTCAATCGTGATTCAGGTATGCATTCTTAATTCCTCATTCTTCTATTATTTCCGATTCACACGTATTTTCTATTGATTCGGTACAATTCAATTATTGAAGTTTGTTGTTGTGATTGGTGTTGAAATAGAGGGAATGCTTCAAGCTTGAAGTCGCGATGATGCCATTGATGATGAAGGTTGACGAAGCTGTGTAGAATATTGTAGAGAGGTTGTGTATAGTTGGCTATTAGGATGGGATGGCTTTAGATTTGAATGAAACTGAGAGTTAGTTGCTGATTGTAATTTGAGTTAGCTAATTGTTAGTGTGAAAAAGAGTTAAAATCGTCAATATTATTAGGGCCTGACTGTTAGGAATATCAATTGAAATGGATAACTGTTAGCTTAAAGTTGTTAGAAATTGTTATGTGAGGGATTAGGTTTGTGAAGTGGATATTTAAATTGACTTGAATCTATGTGATTGACTGAATCTATGTAATTTTGTAGAATATTGTAACATTTTTTGTAATTCTCTCAAGTTGTAGCAAACCAATGTAAATATTAAAATGAAATTTGGCCTTTGATGATATTTGAATTTTTCTTGTTTATTGGTAAAATTTGCACTTCTTTTTACCTTTGATCACATTTTTTTGATATTATTGATGATTATTTGATATTAAATGTTTTTATTGTAATTAACTTTATTATGTTGAAAAGTGATAGAAAATAAAATAAAAATACTATAAATAAAAAAATATTAAAGTAAATAATAATTTAAATATAATAGTAAAATATTATAGTAAAATAATATTATATTTAAAATTATTTTACTAAATAATAATTTAAATAAAAATATTATTTGAAATTTATAAATCAGATTACGACGGTTAAAACCGCCGCAATTTCTAACCTACGACGGTAGAGTAACCGTCGCAAACAACAACAAAAACAAAAAATAAAGTCAAATTCACGACGGTATATAACCGTCGCTATCTGTTGTGCGTGACAGTTTTTGCAACCGTCGCGAAATAGGCTGGGGACGCACGATTCTGCGACGGTACTTCTACCGTCGTAGATTGTAAATTGCGACGGTTTTAACCGTCGTAATCAGCCAAAATAACCGTCCCAATCTATCATTTTTCTTGTAGTGATAGCTGTTAGATGCTTGCTCAAAATAAAACAAAATTTTTACACTTACACATATCAAAAACAACATTAAAAAACATTCGCTTTGTCAACACTCTTGATGACTGATACAAGAGTTATCATAAAGCGAATTGCCGCACTAAGGCATTTTCAAAACAAATTTTCAAAACACACAAAGCACAAGTAATTTTCAAAACATGAGCTAGCATCTAAGAGCCCGTAGAAAACTAAGGATGGAAAGGTTGTTGTAATACGGTGGCAGAACTGATTGTTGATACTGGTTTGCATTTTTTGTTCGCAAATGTCACGGTAAGCAAGAGACGCCACTGTCTTTTATTTTATCCAACAAAGGAAAGGTAAAAAAAGAACAGAAAAAACCTTTTTCGAGAGTTTTTTGAGTAAGGGGGTAGATTATAGAAAGGGAAGGTATTAGCATCCTTTATATCTGTGGTTTTCCACGGGCTCTTAAGCACTTTGCTAATTTTGAAATTGCTTTGTGCGTGTGTTTTGAAAAAAAAATTGTCTTACTTCGTGATAACTCTTGTTTATATCCTCAAGAGTGTGACGAAGTTGTTTTTGAAAACTGTTTTGAAAGTGTTTGTGTGAAAAGATTTTGAGATTTTTGAGCAAGTACCAAGGAACTATCTACCTACTCGGAAAAAAATAGGTTTGTTTTTTCTCATTTCTTTTAGACAGTGCTATCCTACTATTAAGGAGTAGGTAGCCCCATCGTTGGAGTTTAAGGGACAATCGAAAGGGACGTTTTTACGGTTATAAAAGCAATGGTTAGGAAACTTTAGTAATTACACTAAAGTCCTAAAGATCTTTCTGAGGCAACATTCGAATGGGTCATTTTGATCTTTTTTGGACTGGAGGGTGACCACTAAAACTTCCTATGCTTCATGACCATTTACTGAAGGCAACCAAAGTGGTGATACCCTAGGGGTGCGTATGTGCGAGTTTATTTGATTTCAGATATATTAGTATTTGTGTTTAGTTTTCTAGTGATTGGTTTTATCTTATTCATGCAATCCTATTAGCCATACATCTAACAGTTAATATATGTGCAAAAATATAAAGTGCGGAAACGTAAATTCCTACGCTATTACATGGCTTCGGGGAGAGAGATTTAATTACAAGTCCAAAACCGAGAGAAATGTAAAGGAAAAAAATAAAAATTCCTTATAGTTTGGCTACATTGATATGTACAAGAATATAAAAGTGTGAAAGAAGAAAATGCGCCCGAAATAGGAAAATGCGTAAAGAAAACTTTTTGATGTTTTTTGAATTAGTTTTGACAAAAAGAAAAGGTATATTTTTTTGTTTGGTTTTTAATTTACGAAAATATTAAATTAAAGTCTAATTAATAACATAAAATAAACCTAATTAATATTTTTTGATTTTTGAATATTAAAGAAAATAAGAATTATGAAATATAAAACCTATTTCTACTTAATCATTACTTTAGGAAAATATTAACTAATTAATTAATTAATTAATGATCTATTTAAAAAAAAATTATTATTTTTGTGATTTTTTGGTTTTAAGGTTAATTAATAAAAATAAAATCAAAAGAAGAAATAAAACATAAAGAATAGAACGGAAAAACAAAATAAATGGGTCTGTATCCTGCGCTAAGAGCACGAAATGCAGATCATGTCCTAGCTATGGCACGATTGGATTTCAGGCTCAAACCTTGTGATTCTCACGCACAAACCTCATAGTTTTAGGTCTTGTGCAACACTCAAACAAACTAAGGCATTAAAATGTACAGATAAATGAAATTCGAATTAAATTTTTTACCAAATACACAGGTTTGGATATGTAGTGTTCTTGGTCGTGCAAGGGCCTAGGGATGTCCTGGATCAATTCCTGGGAATGCTGGGAGAATGACTATAGTGTTAGTTTGCCACGAAACAGCTTGTAAGCGCGGTTGCAAATATTTGATGAATTTATGAAAATGGAGAGTTTGAGAGAGGGCTTCTGTAGCGTGGTAAGCGTCATTTTTATTTTTTTCTAATGCTTGCAAATGGTCCAACATATATAGGAGGGAAGGAATGAATGGTCTTGAATTCAAAATCCATGCCATAATGCCTTGTAATGAAGTATTGATATAATATTCAAAAACTTGCCAAATTGATGTTTTAAAGAACCATAATGCAAAACTTAAAAACTTGCCCCAAATGACTTTTGCGCCATTTCTTGAAGGGGATGAACCTGGACATCATTTTCTGCGTGGCTTGGGCCCTTGTGCAAGATAATTCCAAGCCCATTTGTGCTATACACCTCCCTTTGTTATTTAAACCACTTATTTCATGTTTTATTGAAAATAAATCCAAATAAATGGAAAATAAATGGATAAAAAGTAATACCACAAGGGGAAGAGCTTATGGGTCCTATAATATGCCATGGAGAGGTTTAAAACTCAAAGAAATGAGTTAATGCCTTGAAAACTCAACTTTGCTCGATGTAGGATTTATGAATTTTCCAAAAACTTTCCCAACTTAGGAAAACCATAACTTGCTCAATTTTTATCCCAAGGATATGATCTTGTATTTTTTTGGAAAGCTCAAGATGTCTACTTCAATCCCTCTTTTTATCATTTTTGCATTTGAAGATGTTATCTTGATGTAAAAGGTCTGGACAAAAAGTGTCTTTTGTTGACTTTATGAAAATGACATATAATGTATGAGCTTGCATCTTTCAAATGGTGCACTTAATGAACTTGAATATAAAAGATGTATTGTAGGGAATTGTATTATCTTCAAGATGGGCTTTGGTTGGGGCCAAATGGACAAAGCATGAGAAAGTTATGCCAGTCAAAGTTCAGTTGACTTTTCCTATAGAAACCCTAATTTTGTAAATTTGAGTTTTGATGAATTATGAGCATTTCTTGAGGAATCATGTTCAACCCTTGATCAAATGATAATTATCACTTCAAAATGATGTTGCTGACAAAAAATCTTGAAGTTTGACTGTATATAGGCCACAGTTGACTTTTGACCTAGTATAGTTGATTTTTAGGCATTTGGGCAATTGACTGTGCAAACTTGTTCTGCAAGACATGAAATTTGTCATGGACATTCTTGGAGGCATAATAGGACCATGGAAAGCAATTGAAGTCTTTGGAGTTGACACATCCTAATTCAAATGGAAAACCTAGTTGGGGGTTCATTGCCTTGGGAGGAGAATTTGTCTGATCAACTCTTGGGCATCCTCGGGAAAGTCGAGGACCTCAATAGGCATCTGTTGAGTAAAATGTGAGGCAAAAATTTGGGGTACAACATCTGCCCCTGTTCAATCTTCTTAAACCTGAGGATGTAGATTGGCTTGTCTGCCTTTCGTGATCTGAAGGCGGAAGATGATTGAACACTAGAGTGCCTAGAAATTTGCACTTGCAAGAAGTGATTGTCGATCGATAATATCGAGAATGGGCTTTTAGATTCCATTTGGAAGACGACGGAGAATCGTCGGAGATGGGCTTAAAGATGCCATCCAGAAAAGATATCGGTTGCATAAGAGATTCCTTTGCGAGAATTCTTGTACCTGCCGTTGAGGAGGACTTCGCCGGGGAATGTTGATTTATGTCCTGGGAAATAGAGTCTAGGAGCTTCGATTGTCCATTACTCTATTTAGGAATTAACTCTTGATTTATGAGACAAAAGTGAGATGTTATATGGTTGAGTCCGAGTTTTACAGCGACTTACTAGGGAATATGAAATCGACCGTATTT